ATGTCGGCATGAGGATGCGTCGGAAGGGATTAGTCGCACCTGAGAAATGCAGCGTGGATTACCCCCTGGGTGTTGGCCATTACGAGGTCGTGCTCGTCGTACGAGAGGTAGACGAAGCGCGAACCGAATGATCTGAGGATGTTCTCGACCAGGGTCATCGCTGCGTTGGACGCCCGCTGTTTTATGAGCACCTGGTTTGTCTTCGTTAGTCACCTCATGGTAGCGCGGTTGTGACATATCTAACGGATGAGTTCTACGCACCAATGGCTGCCCAACGGGTGATACGTTGGGCCCATGCAAAGAATGGCAGGATACAATTTCTGTATCCTCGGGCAAATATTTCAGAAAGGCAGCCTTTTCTGGGGCTTTCACCGAAGTTTGGCCCGCTACTATAGCATTGACCTTCGTGGCTGAGTTCGAATGTGCTTGGTAAGTATTTAATCATCCCAGAATATCGAGGAACTATACAAGGTGCATATTGCGCAATCACTCGCTCGATGAATTCGGTCTCGACCGAGTAGATTATGAAGTCTGAGGACCTGGAGACCCCATGCCCGTCGGGAAACACAGTTATGTTTGTGGTGTCTGAATTACGCTCCCGTCAGTACATGCAGCGACAAAGGAAAAATGCCAGCGACCTGCATATTCCTTCTCGAGTGAGTCATATTTTTGGCGCTGGTCGCAGACATGAATTCTATACGTGACCGGTTGTCAGCAGAAGCGTTGAGTGTTACGCTACGCTGGTACGCACTTCTTCCATCCGGCCTGCGAGAGATACTTGGCGTACATTCTGCCCATTGCGCCCATCCCAATGAGGCCAATAGTTGGCTGCGCTTCCGCGGGACTGGCCGGACTTACATCCAGCGGAAAGTTCGACACAGTTGAGGATGAGTGCGCGCGCGCGTAACGGCACCTGGAGATCTCAGGGACGCTGCGGCGCAGATGTTGACTTGAAAGTTTCACGTGGTTGTCATCAGAGTCCGACACACGGTCACCTGGCTGGCTTATAGTAGTACTCTCTTTGAAAGCCAAATACATGCTTGCCTCCAAGTTGAATGTTCACGTCTGCTATCTCATCGGAATGCAGCTCCATGTTTGTGGGTTCATCCTGGGAGACTTCTGGCACCGCCAAGAAAACAGTTTCTGATAACCTCACATGTTCAAAATTGTGATCACGGGAAGTCACAGAGTAAGCACTTACCGGCCTCCACTTGAACAGTGTATTTTTGTAACAGTCTGGCTACTATTTCGTCGTTATCTGGGAATTTTCCAGTGTCTGCTTCCTATCACATGTTGAGAGGTTGTAAGGGAATTTGAATATAAGGTGGTTCACCGGTCTCAATACACCCATCCATTGATCATCATGTACAATGGCGAAGGTAGCATCTTGAGTCTGGAGTGTGTTTGTTAGTTGAGGGCCAGGTAAAGTTATAATGCTGTTACTTGACTGAATAGATAGTCGGTGATAGCTTTTGAAGGGTGGAATGGCTGTTCAGGCTCATCAGCTGGTTTTTTTTTACAAATCCACAAGCGGAATGGCTCACCACACTGGTTCCCGGAATTTCTTCCACTGAAATTTCAGATGTCAACTGCAAAGCATCTCCGCCTCCACTGTAGCCATGATCATTGGAGGTCTGTCCCCCGCTCAATCCTCCTGAAGTGCCAGGAGAATTGCCAACCCTATCCTTCTTGAGGCTGGATTTGAGGTCAGGCGACCCTTCAGTGGCTTTGATGTCGATTGGTTTTCGCCAGAGAGATGCGAGACGGTCGCGCTTGACAATTATATATCCACGTATGAAGACACATTGATTTTCCCAATCCTTCTCCGAAGGCTTACGAAGAGGACCAGCATGAGATGATTCAGAGTTGGTTGACTGCTCCCAAGAATAACCAACTTTTCCCCCGATCCCCATAGACCCCAACATCATGCTAATATCCCCTTGACCTGAGCGTGCCGCAGAGAATGTGATGCCCCAGCCAGATGATTTGTGACACCCAGTTATTAAATAAAGGGTTTTTCCGGGGAACCCCCATTCTTCCAGAAAGGTGAACCAGCCGGCAGCGGAGGCATAAGCATGGTCTAGAACACGTGATAGAGGAGTGAGGTCTTTGGAGGATGCACCCGTCGGTAGAATTAAGGCAGCTCCCACGTCGGATGAGCATGATATTTGGATATTGACTGCCTGGGTAATCAGAGCGCCACTAAGGGTTGAATACATATCATGAATAATATTCAAACAGGCACAGAAGGTTTACCCAGCTTCGATGCCTTCAGATATGTTGACCCCCCGCTTTCGAATGCTCTTGGTAGCCACACAGGCCTCAGGTGGAAAGGCCACCGTCTTCTGCCGTATCTCATCGTCCCCAATGTCGATGTGGACAAAACTAGAAGCTTTGACGTTTGGGTTCGTTAGCAAGGAATTGATTGGGTGATCCCTCGAAAAACGGATGTTGAAAAGGTAATTGAATGAGCCTTGGTCGAGGAAACCGACATCGCCGATTCCAACACCACCTCGTTTGTAGGTGCTGTTCTCTTCTGTGGGCTGCGGATCCCAGAGCGGATATCCATAGCGTTTCCCGAGGAGGAGTTTTGCGTACTGGCCACTGGCTGAATCGCTCATCTGTAGGTAGGTTGGTGGGCGGTGGTGTGGAGCCGTTACCAGTGGGTCTTAAATATCAATCAATGCTGCTATATTAAATATCAATGCTGTGCGATCTGACAGCTTACTGACGGAATGCTGTGCCATCTGACAGGCCGTTTGGCTGGTTTACTGGTTGACAAGACGTGCCGCCGCTTCGCTCTGGCAGCCAGGCCGGAAGATGATTTCAGTCAAATATTATTCCAAACATGGGCGAAATACAAATATACAATGATACAGAGAAGAAATGGGCTGCTGTGCCTTCATCGGAGAAGTTGCTTTCATCAGTGGAGACTATATGAGTGAGTGGAACGATTTGAGGAACAGTCGGAGCCAGTGAATTTAGGTGGGAATCATTTGGGAATCATAATGGGTTGCGCAATCTCGTCGACAGGAGATCTCAGCTACCGGAATAGAGAAATGTAGAGCTCGTTGCGGTTCTTGAATGCCCTAGATCAACATTTATATTTCCAGATGTTCGAAGGAGCCTCAAATAGCCAAGGAGAATGAGATTGCTTGAATTTTGTGCCCAAAGTGAAGGAAAAGGCAGGAAAGAGTGATCAGCGTAGCAACCGGCGCAGTATCACAGAAAAAGCCGAACAGTGGCAGAGCAGGATATTTGAGGACCAGAGACGACCAGAGAAGTGGGCGAACACCGATTGTAATGGCAAGCGATGCAGCCCATTTATGTGTGGAGAATCCTCGGAAGCGTACGTGGCCGCAGGAACGTTTGCGTCACGGGGCGAATTAAGCTGCGTATCCTTGCCGATCGCAGTAGGGATGGGTCAGATGAAAGATTTTTGGTCAGGCCGCAATGATAGAAGAAGACAATTGATGAGGTCCGCCAGTGCGAATGGAGAAATGAAGGCTGCCTTTAAAGTTTACAGTAAATGAGAGAACCACGGAGTTTCCGCAGTGGGATAATTTTGAATGCAAAATGGGGGAGGAATTTATAATCTTGAGGACGAGAGAGCGAAAGGATGGAGATAACCTACATGGAGCAATTGCACTGCCGCCGAGGCATTTGCCTAAAGAACGGTTAATTAATCAGCTGGATGCACACAACGGTTATGTCACACAGCCACTGATAGCACTTAACACGAGCACATAATTCACGCCTTGAAACGTACGGATATTTCGTGAAAATATTTGTAACAAGCCACGATGTATGGAAATGCTTTTGACGCGTCAGATCTGGATTTTCTGAGGCTACGACACGGTATCTGTAATGGCCGCTAAAATCAGTGACAGACCCGTCACTTGCACTTAACATGTTCATCGTTTCTCTTGCCTGCAGCGTTCTTTTACTCTGTATCTCGGGGAATGGTTTCCAATTCATCCAATGATGCCTCCAGAGCCTCTGGCTCCTTTGTATCCTACCTTCTGAGCCCGTGGACTTTGTAACTCCCAAATGGCTCGGCCAACAAAAACCTCTCAACCGCTCGAATTCCAGTAGCTTGCTTTCCTGATCATCTGAAGTTTCAAAAATTTAGCATTTCATACGGACACCATATCCCGCTATTATTTTAACCAAAATTCTTAACTCATCCGACTGACGGGTGGGTCGCTGTCGAGCTGCACTCGAGATGATCGGATCAGGCCTACGTCCTCTTTGAGGTTCCAGCACGAAGAGAGAGCGATTTTGACCTCCTTAACCATGTAAGGGTATCCAATCGAGCCTAGAAGCTTGCAATTTGGTGAGGAATTGAGCGAGAAAGAGGAAAAAAATAAGTAAGCGCGGTGGTGCTTCGGAATTAGGAAATCATGCGAATACATGTCTTGATGAACAACTTCCCACAACCTTTGATCGCGGCATACAACCTGCCTTCAAATTTGACCTCGGGCGTCCTCATAGCCTATTTTCATATCACGGAGGCCAAATCCCTTTTAGATTGTTCCGCCATCTATATGCAAGTAGCCGGCTAGCTGGTTTGGCCGGATATGTAGTCACAGATAGCAAGTATTTATGTCTTTGTAAAACCGGTGTCGCCGCCCCTCGGTTGAACAACCTGGCGAAAAAAGGTTCACACCCTTCCATGTTAACAAATGCTGGTAGAAAGCACCGTGGTGTGCGGTACATCCGCAGACATGATTACAGTTGCGGTTAGCGTAACGGCAAGATGGGGTTCGACTCCCCGCAGGTGCATATAGCTACCTCGTGTTCCTTCTTTTTTTTCTTTCCACCTTTCAATGGGTTAGTACTGCCATTTAACCACTTAACCACGAGATTCAAGATTGCGGCGAGACTTGCAGAGAGACAAGCGCGTGTCAGGTATAGCTTTGTTTGTAAAACTCGGGTCGAAGTGAGCAACCCGGTGAAAGAAGACTCACACCCGTCCATGCCAACAAATATTGCTAGAAAGCACCGTGGTGTACGGTACACCCGCCGCCCAGACTAAAGTGCCGCAATACCTCAATATAACGGCGAGCCGGGGGTTCGACTCCCTGCCGGTGCATAGTCCCGAAGTCTGTGGTCGCCTTTTCCTTCTTTTTTCTTTCAGTGAGTTAGTACTACGATTTAACAAATCAACCATGAGATTCAAGATTTCACTGCTTCACAGCGATACCGGAACACACATCGGCAATATTCGGGTATATCTTTGTCTGTAAAACTGGCGTCGCAGTCTCCAGGCCTGAGCAACCTGGCGAAAAAAGACTCGCACCCATCCATGTCATTTATTTCAGTACAGAGCTGTATACGTCCTGGCGACTTCATTGCGTGCGTCGCGGAATCAAACTCTAGTATAAAGGAGACCACAATCTTGGATCAATACTCTCGAGTTCGCTCAACATGAGATCTCTCTTCATCCTCCTTGGCATTTACGCATCTGTGTCGTTGTCTGCGATACTTCCAGCCTTCACGCCGCCCAAAGTGTACAAGGTCATTGATGCTGCCTCGTACATGGGCCTCGGCAACGAGACGAGTACGGTATGGCTGGAGTACATACCAAAATGTGCTGAGAATAATTACCCCCCTCAGGAGACCTCCACCTTCGCCAAGCGCACACAGGGAAACGTGTACGTCTTTGTAGTCTTCATATATTGGCTGCGACCTATTTTTTCAAATGATGAACACAGTTATCTCTGCAACGATCCCAACTTCACTGGATATTGTGTTCTGATAACCGGCGCCACAAGCGGGGGATGCGTCGCCCTTGGTCCCGATCTCGACAAACAAGTTTCAAGCATCGGCCCCGACCCGGACCAGTCGTGCTACTTCTTCAGGTGAGCGTGGCCTGCTAGGAGCCAGCCTGTCTTACCAACGAGTATGATGCTTAAGGAACCGTGTCTGTGGCGCGGGTTCGGAGGCAGATGTGATCCAGAAATTCCGCAGCCCCGGCTTCACAGACCTCAGCCTCATTGGGTGGGATAATGCTGGATCGTCCTTTAGGTGGGTTGACTGATTAGATTGCCCCGAGGAATGATCTGAGTCATACATAGCTGCATCTTCGACGGTGGCCCACCGCTGACGGTTACGTTTCCCTGAGTGTGTGTTGAGCATATCTCGATATGAATTTGCGCGTAGAGCATCCACTGGCAGAAAAATATTTGACAGAGATGGATGCGGGGGAATGTGGTTGGTTGATGCATTTCGGTTGCTATGGATGGTGTTGTGGCTCGGTGGTTATATTCTAGAATGAGCTGAGAGCTTCGAAATCCGGAGGTCGTGTTCGGTTGCTATGGATTGTGTTGTGGCTCGGTGGTTATATTCTAGAATGAGCTGAGAGCTTCGAAATCCGGAGGTTGTGTTCGGTTGCTATGGATGGTGTTGTGGCTCGGCGGCTATATTCTAGAATGAGCTGAGTGCTGCGAAATCCGGAGGTTGTGTTCGATGCCGGCTAGAGGTAATGCTTTTTGCAATCATGAACAGTGTTTGGACCCAGTTTGATCAGTTTGAACAAGGTTCAATCGATCCGAACTATCACAACCTCCTCAAGTTAATAACCCCCGGCCGCAGGCAAGCCTGCGTGAACAAATCAGTAATTAAACAAGTTTATGCGCTGAGACGGCAGTTGATTGATCAAACTTCATATAGATTAGTTTTGACGAGCTTGTGGTCGAGATCCTGAAATCCGTTGCACTGTGTTGATAAGGCGAGCCACGGTTTCAGAGTTCCAGCCAGATATATATGTCTTCCGTGAAGAGCCAATGTGTTGCGGCGCGCTTTTATCGTATACATAGCCAAGACCGCCAGAGCCGCTCAGAGTCATCACTCATCAGTGAGTCAGCGAGCGCTGAGGTGATTGGGCTCTCCAAGTCTCAGCTGTTTTTTGAGAATTGACGGAGACGAGGAGATGAAAGTACCGCAAAGACCTGACTGTCGGACGCAGTACATGGTGGCAAGAAGAAAGGCTTTGTATGCACCTGTATGGCAAGAGCGTCTATGTTGTCAGTGTGACACCGTAGTGACATCGCATCTCTCAGCTCTTTGATGCGCGCGCTGCCTGTGCGCTGTCCCAGCTCTCCATCTCCTCGTCTCCCAGCGCTTTCATGCCCACATTCAAGGTCGTAGTCATCGGCGCCTCGGGCGTTGGAAAGACCAGTTTACGGGGCCAGGTGCGTCTCCTATCCCGCTTCTTCACCCCAGTTACCCTAATCGAGGTATTTGCAGTACATCTCCTCGCGTTTCTCGACGTCGTACCGCGCGACCATCGGCGCAGACTTTATCACAAAGACCCTCCCTCCCCCCGCCTCGTCGCCCGACGCCGAGCCCGTGACGCTGCAGATATGGGACACCGCGGGCCAAGAGCGCTTTTCCTCCCTCGCGAGCGCGTTCTTCCGCGGTGCGGACGCTGCGGTGCTCATGTACGACGTTACGTCCCCCGAGACGCTGTATGCGCTCACGAAATGGTGGAGCGAGTTCAAGGAGAAGGCGCCCGTGGCGGAGGAGGATCTGCGCGGGTTTTGTGTGTGCGTGGTGGGGAATAAGGTGGATCTGCTGCAGGACGGGCGGGGTGAAGGGGACGTAGTCTCTCCGGCGCAAGGCGCCCGCTTCGTGCGTGCGCTGGTCCCGCGCCCGGATACGCCCCCGCCATCGCCCGGGCCGTCCGCCTCCTCCCTCATCCTCTCCGCGGATGAGGAAGACGAAGACGAGGACGCAGACGACGCACTCGCCTCATCCGAGCTAACTGCGCGCCCACCGCCGGTATCCCAAGCCCATCAAACACCGCCCTCGCCGATATCCATCCTCCGGCACCCACACCTCGCGCCCTCGCCCACCACGCCCTCCCATAACCGGCACACGAAATCCAACTCCCAGATCTCCTTCTCCCCCGCCTTCCCCGCCGGGCTCAATCTCAACCGCTCGCGTTCGCGGAGTCAAACCCGCGCGGGCGCGGCCTCGCGCGCTTCTACCATAACGTCGACGTTGACGGTGTACCACACGCCGAGCAGCAGCGTGTTCAGCGATGGCGCGAGCGAGTATTTTCATTCGGCGCAGTCGTCTTTCCGCGAGTCGTATGCGTCTGCACGGGGGCATGGGAGGGGGGATTCGGATTCGACGGTGCATTCAGATTCGACTTTACACTCTAATTCCAACCCCAACTCGAACTCAAATTCCAACTCGAACTCAAATACGCATTCGCATTCCAACTCCCAAACGGGCGTGGGCGCGGAGTACCCGCACGCACTAGGCAACGGCCTCCCCACCGCGCTCGCCTCGCGGTTGCACGCAAACGGTAACGGCAGTGCTAGTGGGTCCCCGAGCCAGCGCAGCACCTCCGAAGCGACCATCACGCCCGCGCGTTTCTCCTCTGCCTCCTCCGCCTCTTCCACCCACTCTTCCACTGACTCCTTCCCCCTCTCCTCCTCGCCCTCGCCCCCACCTACCCGCACACCTGGGGCGTGGCACTCGCGCGATTCCTCTGCCGCTACGACTACCACGACGACCTCGGGGCTGAGGTCCAAGTCCGCTTCGCCACCGCCGCCGCCGCCGATTGATACGACTACGAATGGGACGATGGACGCGGGTCCCTCGTCCTCCGCCCTCTCGCCCCTCCCGTATCCGCAGCATTTTCCGCTGGGCGCAGCATTGTTGAACCTCAACGGGAACGGGAACGGGAACGGTAATGGTAATGGAAATGGGGGATTCGCGGCGTTCGGCTTAGCGCCCCCAACAACAGCGGTGGCGCGGGAGGGGGCGGGGAGTAGTGTTGATTCGTTGGAGGTGCCAGACGCCGCCCCTGCTAACGCTGTCAACGGCGTCAACGGCAACGCCTCCTCGAAGCCCACCCCTAACGGCGTTGTGAAACCCAAACCCCGCAACCGCCTCCCCCGCCTTCCCAGCTCCACCTCCGCCTCCTCTCCCCCACCCCCACCGGATAAATGGGTGATGGAGCCCGACCTCCCGCACCTCGACGCGAGCGGGGCGGCGCATTTCCGCGTGTCGGCGAGGACGGGGGAGGGCGTGGGGGATGTGTTTGGGTGGGTGGGGAGGAGGCTTGTTTTGGGGTGGGAGAGGAGGGAGGGGCGGTTTGAGGTTGATGATGGGGCGATGAGTAAGCATGATAGGAAGAAGAGTCGGGGGAGTAGAGGGGGCGCGGAGGAGCGGTTGAGGTTGAATGCGGGTGGGGGTGCGGGTGTGAATGGGGGGGAGAAGGCGGGGTGTTGTTGATGCCGGGGAGGGTGCGGAGGGGGAGGTAATGTTATGCTGATGTTTATGCTTTCTCGCTCGCGGTTACGATACCACTACTATTTACTTACTTATTTGTGCATTTATTCGGTATTCGTTATTCGGTTCGGTTAGTTATTTGTTACTTATCTCTTTTATGTTGTGTTGTGGTATACCAATGGATATCTGGAATGGAATGGATTGTGATGGAATGGAGCTGGATTGGAACAGATTGAAGTGGGATGCAAATGGGTCTGTAACCAGTCTTGCTGCGAGCGAACTAAGTTCCGGTTACCGCTAAATGGTAGAGGCGCCGCCGACAAAAAAAAGAGGATACCTTCAAGTTCAAGTGGATGCATGCACCGGCGGGGAGTCGAACCCCGGCTCGCCGTTGTAATGCATGTTGATCACCACATATATCTTGTCAGCGGGTATGCCGTACACCACAGTGCTCTTTCCTCTGTATTGGACCGCGCTATGTGGGTGATTTTTTGAAAGCAACGGAAAGAAGAACAAGAAAAAGTTTTGTATTGGAATCAGTAAAATAATGCACCGGCGGGGAGTCGAACCCCGACTCGCCGTCATATGGCAGAACTGGCTCATGATTTCGGCGCATGTACCGCACACCACCGGTGCTCTTTCCCGTGTATTCGACCTCGCTATGTGTGTGGGTCTTTGAAAACAGCCGTGCATAAAAAATTCAAGGACTGTCAAAAAGTGCAGCCGTCGGTTCTAATAGAACCGACGGCTGTTCTATGCACCGGCGGGGAGTCGAACCCCGGTCCACCGTTATATTCATCTAGCAATCGATCAACTCATAAGTTCGACGGGTGTACCGCACACCAAG